GGGGTGTCTCTACAAAATGTATTGTTGCCATGATTCGACTTTTTAGATACCTGGATAATTGAGTCTTCATTGACCTAATGTGATGGAATGTAGCCTGGATTCCGGGGGGGGGGGGTGTGCATTCCAGAGGAGCACGAGACAACTCAGTTCAGATTGTTTGTGTGAGAGAAAGTGGGTGAAGACAGCTACTCCCTAAGAGCCCCCAGGGTATATGCCTGGTGTGGCTGGTAGCTTGCATTAGTTTGTCTAAGATTCTATCTATAGAAGCCTATCTATAGGTGAAGAACAATAAAGATATCTCCTTGGAAGAATCATAAAGCATCTTTCTTGATTTTTGGAACCTGGCATTCAAGTATATCAAATTTTAACCAACGCTTCACTTGCAATGGCATTTACACAGCTGCCTGTATCTTAATAAAGCACAGAATAAAAATATGTTGATACCTTTGCAGCATCTGACACAGTGTCCCAATTGCCTCCATTTAAAGAAAATTTTCCACTACCTATCCGTAACAAAATTTCTTCAGGGGTATCATTGGGCCCGTTTGCAAAAGGTGTGTACCTAAAAAATATTTTTAAAAAAGGAGGTTAGTTCCCTTTGCATAAGTAGTTCAGAAGCATAGATGGAAACTTGCTGATTTAGCACAGCTGTCATACTCTGGGTTGATCCTATAAAATAAGAGTCATGCCTCTGAACATCTGCAAATTCATAGCTATGTCAACATTTGAAAGGCGGATCTCACCCTGCCAGCATTGTATAAAGAAGAACTCCCAAGCTCCAAATATCACAAGCAGCATCATAGCCTTGCCTCATGAGGACCTAGAAGATGAACAAAAAACTCTGTCTTATTGTTAGAAAGACGAGCCCTCACCACACTCAAATTGAGAAGTAAATTTAAATAGGTGTTTTTCAACCTTGGCCACTTTAAGATTGTGTGGACTTCAATTCCCAGAATTCCTCAACCAGTATGCTGGCTGGGGGAATTCTGGGAATTGAAGTCCATGCATCTTGAGGTAGCCAAGTTTGAAAAACACTGATTTAAACTAATGACCACAGTGCTACTTAAATAAAATAGTTACCTTCCTGAAATGCTGCAGTAGTACGATCTTCTTTTAATGACCCCCATAATCCCTTGCAGGATGGAGTCTGGGCAACTGAATGGACCTGAGTGTTTACTGGCCGGATGCCCTTCCTGTCACCAATATGGAGTTATATTCAGCAGATATATATATTTTCATTGTGCCCAGAGAGAAATATCTGCCTCTACCTAGGATTGAACTCACAGCCTCCTCACTGTGAGGCAAGAGCTCCACCTGTAGGCCATAGCACTGCTCAAATGCTGCAGTAGTACACAGAACAATAATCAACATTCAACTGAATTCTGGGTTTCCATGTTTATTGTCAACTCATAAAACATTTTGTATATACGTTTTATAGTTGTCAACAGAAAGCGGGAGAGGAGTTTCAAAGAGCAGGCGGCAGTGTGGAATCGAAAGTACTTTCCATTCATATTTTCTTCAAAGACTGATTAGATGACTGAAGCTTCTACCATGCAAAAATCTAATTGGAGAGCATGATTGGTGACTCTTGGGTATGGATGCGTTTCGTTGGATGATACACCTAGAGAGGTGGGGGAAGCAGGATCAAGGGTGACAGTGAATTACGTATCTCAGAGTTGGCTACGCCCAGGTTAGTGCCGGCATGTTAACTTCTAATAAATCCTTTTTAGTTTTGGGAGTGCGGCTCGAGGCTCAGGATTTAATTGGAGTAACTGCCAGAATCCTGACATTTATTTCGATACATTAAGAAGCCCGTTTATGCATGCTCTTGTGTGTGAGAGTAAATTGATAATTATGTTGCAAGGAACAACAGAGCAGAGCAATCTATCCCCAACTCCTCCCCAAACTTGTGAATTTCAAATACTTTCTTGGAGATTTAAAAAGACGATTTGTAAAACAAAACAGGAAAATGCATACCTCTGGTGCCACAAAATTAGCAGTATAGCATGGCGTTAAGAGAAGCCCATTCTCTCCCCGGAGTTGCTTTGCAAAGCCGAAATCACAAATCCTGATGGAATCAGCATTATTGGAATCATCCATATATAAAATATTACTTGGTTTAAGATCCCGATGCACAACCTTAAAAAAAGAACATATAAAACCCAACTGTTCAAACTGAAATCAGGAAAAAAAAAAACATTTTAAAAGATTAAGTAAATTCTATCAACTCAGCAGCAACACAAAGGAGAATAGAAAGAATGATTGAATGTTTAAACCAAATTTCTACAAAAATGAGACTTCATAATTGGGAGCAGACCACAGAATCAATTTATCCAGCTGTGATTTAAAAGTGAATCATTAAATCTGATTTTCTCTTTTGCTTACAAACACCCACTTCTAAATCAGGTTTGTTTGTTTACTTGTTCATGGATTGATTGATTCATTCATTCAATTTGTATGGCCACCCAACTCAACAACTGACTTTGGATGGCAAGCAATCTTAAAAACAAACTCTCTCCCTCCCCCTCTCTTTTTGTCTCCAACAATTGCCAGCTAAATTCTAAAATATAACATCCCACCAATTTTTATACAGACCAGTCTCTGGTTAGCACTTGCTCTCATACCAACCGATTTGCTGAAATGTTATACATATAAAAAAATATAAAGGATTTCAGTTTGTTTATTTGGTGCCTTTGAGTCAATGTTGACTCCTAATGACTACTTGGGTCATTTTCTGCAGTTTTCTTGGCAAGATTTCAGAATTGCTGTTTCCATGACTTCTTCCTAGGGTTGAGAGAGACTGGCCCAAAGTCACCCAGCTGGCTTTCATGCCTAAGGTGGGATTAGAACTCATGGTTTCCCAGGTTCTGGAGTGATGCATTAACCATTACACCAAACTGGCTCTTCAGGATTTCAGTACATGGATATTTGCTTATATATTTAAAAGATTCTCCCAAAGGGGCTTTTTCAAGAGGCAACTGGATTTTCTAGTTTTTTTTTCTTCCTTTGAAGACGTTTCACTTCTCATCCAAGAAGCTTCTTCAGCTCTGACAGGATGGTGGGAAATGGAAGGATTTATATTCCTTGCAGACAGCGGGTCATTTGCATCCTTTTAGAGGGTCGTTGAAGCACCTGGAGAGGTTTACATGTCCTCAGGGTCACCTGAGTAGTGCTTTTGGCTCCTGGTTTTTTTTTTCCTGGAAATCTTACTACAAGAACCATTAGCACTACTCAGGTAACCCTGAGGACACAGATAAACCACCCAGGAGCCTCAACAACCCTCTAAAAGGATGCAAATAATCAGCTGTTTGCAAGGAATATAAATCCTTCCATTCCCCACTATCCTGTCAGATCCGAAGAAGCTTCTTGGATGAAGAGTGAAACATCTTCAAAAGAAAAAAAACAGAAAGTCCAGTTGCCTCTTGAAAAAAAGCACTTTTGGAACAACCATGACTTGGATGATTGAGAATCTCTACAGACATTTAAAAGATTCGTTCAGCTGCTCATCCATCCACACAAACCCGAAACACATATATCCAAACTTAATTAAATTATCAAAATGTGGCCAGCTTACTCCTTGACAGTGAAGGTAGTCCACAGTTTTAGCGATAGTATATAAGACGGCACTTGCTTCGCGTTCTGAAAAATACTTCTGTCTGAGAATACGATCCAGAAGCTCCCCTCCCTTCATCAATTCTGTGACAAGGTAGATATATTTACCATCATCGTACACCTGTAGAAGTTTAATATAGTTGAGTAACACATACTCCAGGAATGGGGCGTGAAACACAGGGTCTGCCTAGAGCAGGGGTCTCCAACCTTGACAACTTTAAGACTTGTGGACTTCAACTCCCAGAATTCTTCAACCAGCTGGCTGAGGAATTCTGGGAGTTGAAGTCCACACGTCTTAAAGTTGCCGTGGTTGGAGACCCCTGGCCTGGAGGCACACTCAACAGAAGGGGCTGATTTTCCACCAAAAACTTCTTTTTTAAGATTGCAAAGATTCCAGACTACTGAATAACCTTTTGCCGCTTTCAGCTTGGCAGATGAGAGAATATTGAGGAATTGTGGAAAAAAACAAGATCATATGCTATGGGGTTCTTTCCCTCGCCATAAAGCAGATGTGTCCGATCTTGGCAACTTTTAAGACTTATTGACTTAAATCCCAGAATTCCCTATGCTGCTGAGGAATTCTGGGAGTTGAGGTCTACAAGTTGCAAAGGATGGATATCCCTTCTATAAAGTTAATACAGCTGAAATTACATTTCCACCCAGTTGGGAACAATAAATAGCAATAGCGATAGTACTTAGACTTATATTCTTGCTTTATAGCTCTATATAAGCGGCTTACAGAGTCAGCCTCTTGCCCCCAACCATCTGGATCTTCATTTTACCCACCTCAGAAAGATGGGAGGCTGAGTCAACTTTGAGCCTGGTGGGATTCGAACTGCCAAATAGCAGGCAGCCAACGGTCAGCAGAACTACTGTGCAGTACTGCACTCTAACCACTGCACCATGGAGGCTCTGTAAACCCACACACCTTTGTAGACATACCACAACAAAGCCTATTTTCAAACAGAATCATATTTCACTGACAAATATCGAAAGCTTCTCTTCTGCATTCCAGCAGAGACTGGACCAGAGGAAAGAAATTCATCCCATCAACAGCTACACTTTGCATGCTCTCTAGAAACCAAAAAGAATACTTACATCTTTTAAAGTAATAATGTTAGGATGCTGTCCGTACCGCATCAAGATTTCTATTTCTTCGGAAGGATCTCTCTTACTTTTGTCAATTATCTGGAGGGGAAGACGATGACCACAAGGAAGTGTGACAGGAGATTAAATTCAGCACAAGGAAGCACATTTCTATTTAAGAAAGCTCAGAACAGCCTCACTCTTCAAGGCCACCTTGTAACAAGGGCACAGAGCAGTCTTCTTCCCTTCAATTCCCAGAATTGTGAAGCCAGCATTACAATTGAGTGCCAGCAATTCTAGGCAGTAGTAGGATAGAGGCAATATCTCTGGAAGATGTCCCAGGCATTTTAAAACATTGGAAATCCTCCACTACAATGTGGATACTGAATCTCTATCTCTTTCTCTCCTACCTCAAAGCAGGCCTGCAGATGAGTCATATTTTTGAGATACTTACATTTTATATGTATTTTAAGTGTATTAAATTATTGTATTTTCTCCTGTAACGATTGTCTTTTACCTTACTCTCATTTTAAAGTGTTTGTTTAGAATTTTCTTGGCAATATGTGTTTGGACCTGTATGTTGATATGGCCCATAGGCTAATCAATCAACCAACCAATCAATCAACCAATCAACATAGAGATACTTTTAAAAAGATGGACTAGAAACAAGGCAGCAAACTTGCAAGGCCTACTTATGTAAAGGGATGTGCCACTTCAAACCAAATCTTAAATTGTCTAAATGACAAGAACATCATGCTGTATGACTGTAACTTTGTCGTTTGTATCCTTACGATCTATATTGACTGTTTCCTAGTATGATTTGATTTATTGAACCCCATGAGTATTATTAAGTGTTGTACCTGATTATTCTTGACTCTTGACGAATGTATCTTTTCTTTTATGTACACTGAGAGCATGTGCACCAAGACAAATTCCTTGTGTGTCCAATCACACTTGGCCAATAAAGAATTCTGTTCTGTTCTGTTCTGTTCTGTCCTGTTCCATCCCATTCTATTTAAATTCTATTCCTATATTCTTCTATTCTATTCTATTGTGCCCTACGACTACCATTAAGTGTTGTACCTGATGATTCTTGACTCTTGACGAATGTATCTTTTCTTTTATGTACACTGAGAGTATTTACACCAAGACAAATTCCTTGTGTGTATAACCACATTGGCCAATAAAGAATTCTATTCTATTCTAAAACAATTGGTAGACTCAATTCATCTACTAAAGTTCTACACTATGCAAATGAGATGGAAATAGAGAGGGCTGGGATTGGCCAGCTCCATTGGTGCCGTCAGTCCAAATACTGTATTCTGACTGGTGGGATTAACTTTGTTTTTAGTACATACAATTTTTATCTGTGATAATTGTAAGTCTCCCAGAATTACTCTGTTTTAAGATGGGCAGCCAATGAATGAATGAATGAATGAATGGAGATACTAGCAGTTAGTAAAAGATCCTCTGGGCAATTATCTTCTTAGTATTAAAGTTCTAAATAGCACATCCACAAATAACTGAAGATAATTACATGTCAACCCCAAAGAAAGAACCATATATTAGCAACATTTCATTACCCAAACTTGGTAACATCATCAGTGCTAGGAAGGAGTGGGGTTTGCTCCCATTTTATATAAAAGAAAGCAAACCCCACTCTTTAGAAGCACTGATGATATTACATGGCTGGGTAATAAAACATCTACAAGAAAACAGCCAAGCTCAGAGAGCACCAAGGATCCCACAGTTTAAACCTTGAGCTACAAATATTCTCCTTTATTGATGTCATACAACTGTCAAATTTGCAGCTTAGAAGATGTTTAGGAAAAAATGAGTCCTGTTTCTTTATATATTCGTTCTAAATAAGATGAAAAGAACACAAATCTTAATTTAATTTAAAATGGTTAAGAGCTATAAAACATTTATTTGAAATGAGGGCTAATTTATATAGATTGCTATATACGTTTAGATATTTAAAAGTGATATGGAAAAAAAATAGCGCCCCTTCATACCTTCACAGCAAATTCCATATTGGAAACTGTATGGATGCAGCGCTTACACACCGAGTAAGAGCCCACACCAATGTCTTCTTTAAGTTCATAGGCATCTGTGAAGAGTGCACTGCTCCCATGAAGTTGCTAAAGAACACAATAAAACAACTTTTAAAAGCTTGCAATTATTTCATAAACTTTTTGGGAACATTTTTGCAGGCCCCCTACACTTCTTATCAGCTCCATACACTTTGGATTTGTGAAAAAAAATATAATAGTAAGGGCAGAGGCAGACCTAAAAAGAACAACTTTTGGACTATTTAGTCCATTTTAAGTTTTAATCTTAGTGGATGTAGTTGTTGAGGCATCCCAACTGGTTCACAATTAACATTATATCAGAGTTTGGTTGAATTTGGATTTAATACAATAACCATTTCTTGCAGTCTGTTTTTTTTTTCTTCAGATGGATCTGTAAATTCTCCTAAACTTTAGCCATAGACATTAGCAGCCAACTATAATCATCATCATCATTATTATTTAACGTCATCATTATTTAACGACCTCATAATCTCTTGTGGGATAGAGTCTGAGCAACTGAATAGAGCTAGCAGAGTGTATACTGGCCAGATGCCCTTCCTGTCACCAATGCGGAGTTTTGTTCAGCAGATAAATTCTCAGTGTGCCCAGAGAGAGAAATATCTGCCCCTACCTAGGATTGAACTCACAGCCTCCTGACTGTGAGATGAGAGCTCTACCTCTGGGTCATCGCACCACTCCTTGCAGCCAACTATGATGATGGGTAAAAAATGAGCACACAGGGGTGACATCACAACCCAAGACCTACAATGATATGTCTCATCAATATCAGACACAAATATGTATGTTAGCGGGGCTGTGAAATTATGATGATGATTTTGTCATTTCCATATGCAAGCTTACCCTTGTCCAACGACTCTTTGACAAGGATCTCCAAACTTGACTACTTTAAGTCTTGTGGACTACAACTCCCAGAATTCCCCAACCAACTGGCTGAGTAATTCTGGGGGTTGAAGTCCACAAGTCTTAAAACTGCTCTGAAAGTTTGAAAACCCCTGCTCTGTGACATTAGAAGTTAATATTAGATGGGAACCAGGTTTTTGTTTTAAATTAATCCCAAAGAATCCAGTTTCCAACCATATTGATTCTGTATAGTTACATAATTATAATCACTATACCTAATCATATTTTATCCTCTATATGCAGTAACTAATCATGACTAAGAAAAATACATTGTAACATTTTTATAGGATACTGTTCTGACCCAAACCTTGTTCCAAATAAACAAACACCGAACAGAGATAAAAGCAAAACCTTTTAATGCTTCTCTGCAAATTCCTTTAATTTATGGTTAAAAGGCTGTTTCAAACTAATAAGAACGAGCCTTGCCAAGGTTATGTAAGGCTGCCAAGAACACTGGATAAAAGTTACTAAGAAATATTTCAACCACAAAGAGTCTCCAAACACCAACCAAGATATTCTGAATGTCCACAAGGCTTGAGTGCAAAAATTTCTTTGCTTCCTGCAAAGAACTCTGGTTTCTCAGCTGCCTTTTATCTCTTAAGGGAGGGGCCATTACCTTGCAGCCTTACACCTGAGTCGCCCATGTTGCTGCAGCTGCTCTTTCCTACAAGCAGCCCTGCGCATATGCGCATTGGGCACAGGCTCCTCGGGGACCTCTTCATCCCTGCTGCCAGCCTCCACAATCTCTGAAGGCAGCACTCCACTCCCTGATGGTCCTGGCCCCATCCCTGCCTCACATGCAGGCCCCTCATCTGAGCTCTCGCTCTCTGAGACCTCAGCCGTCCGCACCTGCTGCCAGTGAATCACAACAGATAAGGGGAAAGTGTCTGTATGAAATTCACCAAAAATAATTTCTGTTTGGACTCGTAACACAATTTAATAGTTTATTCTCAAGTGGATTATTATATGACCTTTATGTTCCAAAGCAGCTTTCCTTTTAAGCTCCTTAAAAAAGAACATACAGGCACACTTCTCATCTTTCAACCAGAGAAACCACCATTCTCAAACCAGCAAAGTATGTGTGAACTCTTACAACTTATTATCCATACATTATTTTTTTCATAGCTGCGGAACCAGAAAAATCAGGCTCACACACCAGCAACGCTAGTTATCAAGCATTTCTCGTGAAATGCTTTCTCTACATAAATGGTTGTTTAGATATCTCTGCATGCATAGATTAGAAACTACACACACACACACACACATTTTTTTACCTGTACTATTGGCAAAATGTTGTTGAGAGGGGTGATTTTGTGGTCTTCTATGGTGTTCGTTGCCACAAAGCTGAAACCTTTGAAGAGCTGATGAGCATTGGCGCTTGGCGGGACTCCAGGGGAATCTCGATTAATTGAGCAGTGTAACACGTTAGATTGCCCCAAAATACAATGCAAAATATTCTACATCATAATGCTGATTTATCAAATAATCCACTTTTGGAAAGATGGCAAATCTAACCACCTTTCTGAGTGTTGTAACAAAGAAGCAGTCAAAGGAAAATGAATGCTTGGGTTTTTTAAAAAAAAAATCAAATAATTAGCACGGAAAACTAATTCAATTAGTCAATTTTAATTCAGTGATGTTAAATAAAAGCCATTTTTTTAAAAAAAAATAACCCTAAAAATTAAGAGCATCATACAATATTTCTGGTGGAGACCAATAGGATTGGCCTATATTTATTTACTCTTACTACTGGTTTATACCTATTCCAATTATTATGTTGAACTTTTTAATTGAAAGTTCTATTGGTTTAGTTTACTTTATTGTCATTGCACCTCGTACGACGAAATCAAACACCATCTTCAGTGCACATCATGACCATGAAAATAAACACAAAAACACATCTTTCACCCTTCACACATTGAAACGGAAACCCCCGACACGACACCAACACTGCACTATTCAGCAGAATTCAAAAGAGCTACTGCCCTGGGATAGAAGCTGTTTTTCAGCCTATTTGTCTTTGTTTTTAATATTCTGTACCGTCTGCCAGATGGTAATAGTTAAAAAAAAGGGTGCCCAGGATGACATGGATCTTTGAGGATGTTTTGAACTTTCTTAAGGCAGCGGGAACTATAAAGCTCTTCCAAAGAGGGGAGAGGGCAACCCATGATCCTCTGGGCAATGACGTTAACCCTATTATCAAAGAGGAATGGGTGGAGGGAAGATATATTACAGGTATATTACAATATATTGCAGGCAGTCCTCAACTTACGACCACAATTGAGCCCAAAATTTCTATCGCTAAATGAGACTTCTGTTAAATGAGTTTTGTCCCGTTTTAGGACCTCTCTTGCCACAGTTGTTGAGTCAATCGCTGCAGTTGTTAAGTGAGTAACCCGGTTGTTAAGTGAATCTGGCTTCCCCATTGACTTTGCTTGTCAAAAGGTTACAAAAGGTTGATCACATGACCCTGGGACCCTGCAACTGTCATAAATATGAGTCAGTTGCCAAGCGTTTGAATTTTGATCATGTGACCACAGGGGAAGCTGCAATGGTCATAAGTGTGAAGAATGGCTTTTTTCAGTTCTGCTGTAACACTAAATGAACTGTTGGAAGTCAAG